TTTTATTCAAGTGGAAAGTTTTTTTGTAGTGAGAAGATTCAGCAAACTGGATAGACCTGAAGATTCAGCAAACTGGATAGACCTGAAATGAAAAAAAAAAAACATGAATCAATACTTTCTAGCCAACCAAATCATTAAGATTTGTGTGTTGACTGAAAAAGAGCGAGTGGTTGAGAGAGGGAGTGTTTCAACCTGTAATTCATGATCACTCACTAACTGGTGGGGGAGGGTTGGGGTAGTGAGAGAAACAAGTTCCACTGAATGCATTTATAGGCAAACACAAGGCATGCATATGGTGATAAGGCATCATAGGTCTAGCACGTGCTCTTCCAGCCCCAAATGGAGGAAGTGGCTCGCAGAAAGATTAAAAATGATGGAGGGTACTTAGAATACTGTTTACATGTTTTAAGGCATGTATGGATATTTTAAGCTACATGTAAAAGAAAAGAAAAAGAGAAAGAAGAAGAAAAAAGGCCAAAATTGTAAATTTGGTGGTAGTATATCCTTAGTACTTTTATACATATCAACTGCTCTTCTAAAATGATGTATGCAATTTGTTTAAAAATATAAGTTGTCAATCCTGTCATTGAATTACCTAACTTCAATTTTAAATTCTGCAAAGGAGAAAAAATGTGAGCCAAGTAAATTTATAGATAATTTAAAGATACTCACTCCACTTCAGAAAGAAAGTTCAAATCAATTTCATTCATTGGATTGACAGAATACACAATGTGGAAAAGGTATGAATGAGAAATATCTTCACAATACAAGAAATGTATTTACAAATACATCTCTTGTATTGTGAAGATATTCATTCTCATTCATACCTTTCCACATTTGTCAACATGAATGCGGTTCAGAATACACAATCGTCATTTAACTCAAAATGGAGCTCTCTTTGAAGCAGAGAGGGAGGGAGAGGGGGAGGGAATGGGGGAGGGAAGCAAAATGACAACTGGTAATTCATTCTCATCATTCAATTCTACACAAGATAGAATAGTTTGAAAAATTTACCTTTGTTGGCAATCAAACTATATCTTAAGAGTGAGAGGTTTCAGTACACAGGATCTGAAAAATGAATGCAATTTATCAATATTTTGAAGCCAATTTGATCTTTTAGTCTTTCCTTAAGCAGACTCAGAATAATAAAATGCCGCATTGATTTTTTCATGTCTTTCAACCGGTAATTCATTCTCATCATGTACATGGACTATTCAAAGAAATCTTGAAATTATTATTATTATTTTTTTTTTAATGTTTAAATAAGGCTTTATAATAAATGTAATTGGAATGCTTCAACATTAATTTTACAAGTAGAAAATAAATTCAGACTTACCTCTTAAAAGGATGCCATTCCTTTTCATCTTGGAACTTTGGCCAAGATTCAAACTCGCGCATTTGGTGCGAGTGTTACTGCTGTCCCAGGTCAGCCGCAAGAAATTAATAGCTATGGTTTTGTATATTTGTATATCTGAAAAATTATGTTTGCTTGTTATCATTTTTAGACCATGAAAACATTGAACTCAATCAAATATATTCAGATATAAAGTTTGCCGCTGGTTTATTTTCATGCGTTTCAACCGGTAATTCATTCTCATCATGTGTGTGGACTAATTCAGAAAATCTTTTTTTTTTTCTTTTTTTTTACATCTATAAAATAGGAGGACAACATATAGTACGAGGTAGTGGCAGAGCTGGGTAGTAACAACTATACAAAAAGATAGAATGATACAAATCAAGACAATTTTCTTCCTAGGCAATATTTATGCAAATGATTCCCAAAAGTGCTATACATAACTGACCAGAAGTGAGCCCATTTTTAGCTAAGTCGATCATCTTGCTTACATGTCAATAGTAAACACTGAACTCACCACAGAACTCATTACTGCTATGTGCCAAGTAGTTAATGTGTTACTAAATGATTGTCAAAATGATATCTTGCTAATCATCAACGTCTGCTGTTCCACATTCGTTTTCAACAGCCTTTATTAATGTTATAACTCATTCATACAGTTTTGTACGTGAATCGGTCTGAACCCCCCCAATCAACCCTTCCCTTGGCCTAGTTAGTCATGGCACATTAAATTGCTTGATTATGTTGGTTTACATGTGAAATTTTTTGGGGTCAGGATGTTTTTTTTGGGGTTTGGAAGGTGTGAAATACCGTAGATTTTGCCTAAAGATGCGTTGGATTCCTAAAGTTATTCAAATTTTGGTGCATAGACTTTCAAAGATGAAGGGCATCTCCATGGTTTCACATTAGCCAATTTTTGGCATTATATGTGCTAGTTTTATGCATTTTTGTTTGCTCTTATTTAAGCCTGTTTTACCCCATAATTACCTCGATAAACTACATGCCCTACCCTGCTATCAGAACTAACACATCAAGATTATTGATGGAAATGGTACTCAGATCTCTTAAATGAATCATTTGCACAAGTGAGCCACTACCCTGTTCTCCATATTGACCAAAAAGGTTTTTATAATGACAAACGTACTGGTTCTGTTATTGAATTGTTTCAACATCCATTTCAATAAGTAAAAAAAAAAAAAATCCACTTACCACTTGAAAAGGTTGCCCATTTTAGATCCTGTAAAGAAGGGGGAGGCAGGAATTAGCTAAATGGATTCACAAATACCAAGAGAGATTCACACTCCTTTTCAGAAAGGAATTTGTAATCAATTTCACTCATTGGATTGACAGAATATACAAAAATCATCATTTAATTCAACATGGAGCAAAAATTTTCCATTACTAAAAAGAGAAGGCCCAAGAACCTTCTGTCAACCATTTGAAATATTTTTTGGCATATCAGGCAACTTGTAAAAGGGCAGAAAAAATAAAAAATAAATAAAACACTTACTTCTAATGTTTCCATTAATTAAAGGGATCCACAGCAGTTGCAAGCAACACCTAAAAAAAAAAAAAAAATAGTGAACAGGTTTAATCATTTTCAGAAATAGAAAACACTGCAATCTAATCAAAATGTATTCAGATATAAAGTTTGCCGCTGATTATTTTCATGCATTTCAACCGGTAATTCATTCTCATCATTTGTATGGGCTAATTCAAGAAATCTTGAAATAATTTTCACCATGTATAAAAAAGGCTCCTCTATAATGGCTAATGTAACTGGATTGCTTCAACAATAATTTTACAAGTAAAATAAAAATCCACTTACCACTTAAAAGGATGCCTTGCCTTTTCCTTTTCATCTTGGAACTTTTGCCAGGATTCAAACTCACGCACTTGGTTTGGGCGTTACCACTGTGCCAGGTAAGCCGCAAGAAACTTACATCTTTGGTTTTATATATTCGGAGTACAACATATCTGAAAAATTATATTTGATTATTAAATAATTTTAGACCTTGAGATACATTCTGTTCAATGAAATATATTCAGATATATAGTTTGCCGCTGATTATTTTCATGCATTTCAACCGGTAATTCATTCTCATCATTTGTGTGGACTAATTCAAGAAATCTTGAAATAATTTTTTCTATATATAATAAAGGCTCTTCTATAATGGCTAATGTAACTGGATTGCTTCAACATTAATTTTACAAGTAAAAAAAAATCCACTTACCACTTCAAAGGTTGCCCATTTTAGATCCTGTAAAGAAGGGGGGAGGCAGGAATTAGCTAAATGGATTTACAAATACCAAGAGAGATTCACACTCCTTTTCAGAAAGGAATTTGTAATCAATTTCACTCATTGGATTGACAGAATATACAAAAATCATCATTTAATTCAACAGAGCAAAGAATTTCTCATTACTACAGAGGTGGGAGAAAAAGGTACTAGAGCCTTCTATCAACTATTTGAAATATTTTTTGGCATATCAGGCAACTTGAAAGAGGGAGAGAAATATTAATAAATAAAATGCACTTACTTCTATAGTTTCCAATAATTAGAGGAATCCACAGTAGTTGCAAGCAACACATCTGAAAAATAATGTGAGCATGTTAAATCATTTTCAGACCTAGAAAACATTGCACCAAATTAATATATATTCAGATATAAAGTTTGCCGCTGGTTATTTTCATGCATTTCAACCGGTAATTCATTCTCATCATTTGTGCGAGGACTAATTTAAGAAAACTTGAAATTATTTTTTTTTATAAAAAAAAAAAGGTAATTTCAACATGAATTATACTAGGGGGAAAAAAAAAAAAGACTTACCACAAAAGGATGCCTTGCCTTTTCCTTTTCGTCTTGGAACTTTTGCCAGGATTCAAACTCGTACACTTGGTTTGGGTGTTACCACTGTGCCAGGTAAGCCGCAAGAAAAATTGTGGCTTTGGTTTTATATATTAGCGTACAACATATCTGAAAAATTATATTTGATTGTTAAATAATTTTAGACCTAGAAGAACATTCCGTTCAATCAAATATATTCAGATATAAAATTTGCCGCTTGTTTATTTTCATGCCTTTCAACCGGTAATTCATTCTCATCATTTGTGTTTAGTTCAAGAAGACTTGAAATTATTTTATGTACTATGTATAAAAAGGCTATTCTATAATGACACTAATTGGATTGCTTCAACATCAATTCTACTAGGTAGGAAATTTTTTTAGACTTACCACTTAAAAGGATACCATTCCTTTTCATCTTTGAACTTTTGCCAGGATTCAAACTCGTACACTTGGTTTGGGTGTTACCACTGTGCCAGGTAAGCCGCAAGAATCCTATAGCTATGGTTTTGTATAGTTGCGTACAACACTGAAAAATTATGTTTGCTTATTAATAATTTTTCAACCTAGAAAACACTGTACTCAATCTAATATATTCAGATATAAAGTTTGCCGCTGGTTTATTTTCATGCATTTCAACCGGTAATTCATTCTCATCATTTGTGTTGATTAGTTCAAGAAGACTTGAAATTATTTTTCTATGTATAAAAAGGCTCTATTATGACAAATGTAATGGTTCTGTTATCAAATTGCTTCAACATCCATTTCAATAAGTAAAAGAAATCACTTATCACTTGAAAAGGTGGCCGATTTTAGATCCTGTAAAGAAGGGGGTGCAGGAATTAGCTAATTGAATTTACAAATGCTAAGAGAGATTAACACTCCTATTCAGAAAGGAATTTGTAATCAATTTCACTCATTGGATTGACAGAATATACAAAAATCATCATTTAATTCAACATGGAGCAAAAAATTTCCATTACTACATAGGGTCAGAAAAAGGCCTATGAACCTTCTATCAACCATTAGAAATATTTTTCAGCATATCAGCCCACTTGAAAGAAGAAAATAAACTTACTTCTAAAACTTCCATCATTTAGAGGCATCCATAGCAGTTGCTTGCAACAGATCTGAAAAAATGTGAGCATGTTAAATCATTTTCAGACTTAGAAAACACTGTACTCAATCTAATATATTCAGATAAAAAGTTTGCCGCTGGTTTATTTTCACGCATTTCAACCGGTAATTCATTCTCATCATTCACTTCCATTCAAAATAGAATATGCAAAACACTTACCTTTAGTTACATTGAAACCATTTCTTCTGTGAAAGGTTTAAGCAGAGGACATCTGAAAAATTAAACAAATTTGTTAATACTTTACAACCAAATTGACCTTAATATTTTCTTATGCACACTCAGAATAAAATAATGCTGCATTACTTTTTTCAGGTCTTTCTAACAATAATTCATTCTCTTTGTTTGACTAATTCAAGAAATCTTGAAATTATTTTTTCTGTGTAAAAACGGCTATTCTAAAATGACAAATGCAATAGTTCAGTTATTGGATTGCTTTGACATCTTTTTCAATATGTTAAAAAAAAATCTGACTTACCACTTGAAAGCATGCCTTTTCTATTCATCTTGGAACTTGGCCAGGATTCAAACTCTTGCACTTGGTGTGTGTCACCACTGTGCCAAGTAAGCCATAAACTTTTGTACTCTAATATATAAAACCATAGCCATATCTGAAAAATTAAATTGGCTTGTTAATCATTCTTAGACCTTGAAAACATTCTGCTCAATCAAATATATTCAGATATAAAGTTTGCCGCTTGTTTATTTTCATGCCTTTCAACCGGTAATTCATTCTCATCATTTTAATTGATTAATTCAAGAAATCTTGACTTTTTATCTGTATAAAAAAGGCTCTTCTATAATGACAAATGTAATGGTTCTGGTTTTTAATTACTTCAATATCCATTTCAACAAGTAAAAAAAAAAAAAAAAATAAAAAAAATTCACTTACCACTTGAAAAGGTTGCCCCTTTTAGATCCTGTAAAGAAAAGGGGGGAGGGGAGACAGGAATTAGCTAAATGGATTTACAAATACCAAGAGAGATTAACACTCCTTTTCAGAAAGGAATTTGTAATCAATTTCACTCATTGGATTGACAGAATATACAAAAATCATCATTCAACTCTTCAATAGATAAAGCTTTCTTCTATTATTTGCGTCGTTGGCCACGTCCACCCTGTGCAGGGCGACCACCTTTCTGGACCTTGGGAACCTTTGCTCCAGTTTTTCCTTGCTGCAATATAAAAAGGGGGGGAAAAAGTACTTATTATTTCCTGGAATTTACACAATCTGGAAAAAACTGTAATCATTTTATCCCTAAATGAATGTCAATGGCAATATATTCCTAACTTCCATCCTGGTAGGGTCCCTCACCTTTGCTCCTTGGGGAGGTGCGGGCTTCTTAGCAGCTGCCTTTGCAGCTTTAGCAGCCTTTGCCTTTTCCTTGGCAGCTCTGAAATAAGTATTAATGCATTAATCAAATAATTTTCACTTTATTTTTTTTTTCTTCTCTCTCTCCCCCCTTTTTTGAGGTTTTGTACACATGGTAATGAAAATACTAACCTGATGGCCTGTTCTCTCTGAGCCTTGCGAACTTCGGGCTTCATGTTCCTGTAACACAGTAAAAAGAAATTGTTGATAAATGTTCAATGTACCTCACTCAGTAACCTTGCACTTGATAATACCAATATAAACACAAGGAACAGTATGGCACCACTAACCTCTTAGCCATGATATCTGTGAGGGAGGCACCAACAATGGCACGCTGGAACTTCTGGGTACGGCGGGTACGTCTCTTTGTCACTTCTTCTTCGACACCCTTCTTGTGCAATCGCCTGTAACACAGGATTACCTCATTTTCTTTTGGTCTTCCAAACTTCCATACATAGATTTCATTATATGCACAGTTCTTTACAAAAGTCAGGGCCAGTTTTCATGAAAGGTTACAGAACTTTGACAAACTTAAGGACTATACTAAAATCAGTCCAAGATTGAAAGACCTTGTTTATGATGGTAAGCAAAGACTCACACCCTATGATGATTAATTTACATAAAATAGTAATAAATTTTAACTGCATACTAACAGTATTACACATTTGATCTCTTTTACATAATCAAATGGCAAACTATATGCGTCTTAGCATCAACTGTGAATGCATGTACATTTATCAGTGAAAGATGCAGTAAACATTGGAGAAGGATCAATCTATATAATATAAATGAAAAGGAAATCATCATCACATGATCTGCTAAAAACTAGAAGGCTCTTACACATCTAAAAAGAAAAAGAATCATTTACCTGTACAACACCGTCCATCGTACTTCACGTGGGTTCTTCTTCATTAGGTAGGCTGCCTCACTTCTTGCATTGAGGAATACCATGACCTAATAGAAAATTGCTAATTATTATCTTCCCAGATATATAAAATTCCAAATACTTTAACATCAATTTGTAAGACATTGAACTCAAAGTCCAAAGTGCCATGAAAACAAAATATTAGGATATATATAAAACAATTTTCGCAATGCTTAGAAAAATATTGTATGTAGTCATATACGTTTGATACTCCCCGATTTCAGCTCTTCCCTTAACCCTTTGCCGCCGAGTGGCATGTACGTACATGCCATGACTATTGGACAGAAAACCGGATGGCATCGTATCATGATGATTTCCGCGCCATTGGCTCATTGGATGTCGTTTATTTTTCTCTGATAGTAGCGGCTTCATTTATATGGTAAAGCTTTTAGGCTAAGTACCTAAAGTGAAGGTAAAATTTCTAATTTTGAATACTAAAAATTTTACCCAAATAAAAGGTTATAGATGCTGAATGTCACTCACAAACTACCAAACGAGCTGGGTGCAAACAGGGGCAGCCAAACTTTTTTACCTGGGGTGAAAGGGTTACCGAGTCGTATTACAAGTGTCACATTGACAGACAATATGACTGAGTAACACAAGAAGACTAATATTAGCTAGAGGAGCAATGTGCAGCTATTTAGTGTGACATCTTCCAGGGATAGCAAACATTAATTGTAAGCTCAATACTAACCTCAAAAAGAGCATAGCATGTCACTTTCTCCCTAAGGCAACACCTTAGGACATATGACATGGGCATGAAGGTACCTTATAAAGGACAGCATTAGATGTAATGCTTGCATGACATAACTCGTACATCAAGAACCACAACCATGTCAGCCATGACAAGAACTACATGTCACTTGGAGGCAGAGAAAAGAATTTGTGGAGCCAATTATGTGCACAAAATATTCACAAGCAAAAATCAGTGGTAAAGCCATGTAACTTTAGTTATGGACAAAAATGATCAGATATATGCTGGTAGCCTGGTGTGGAGAGGGAGAGCTACAAAATGTGGGCTGCGGTTTTTCTAAATTTCATTCAGGTCATGTATTGAAGGAATATTCTTCCCATTATCATCATCATCATCATCATGGGGGCTGACGCCGACGGGGGCGCATAGCCGCATCCACCCTTCGCTTCCACGTACGAGGATCCCTCATGGCTAGACGCCAGGCAGGGACTCGGCCCATCTAGTTCTTCACGGCAGGTTTGGTCGATCTGCCCAAGCCATGACTTCCTCGGTCGTCCCACAGGCCTCCTCCACCCAGGGTTGTCTCGAACAGAGACGACCTGATGAGCAGGATCATCCTGAGGAAAGCGAGCCAGGTGGCCGTATAGCCTGAGTTGGCGATCACGGATTGTGCAGATAACAGGTCTTGTGCCAGTCTCACGGTGCAACCGTTGGTTGGACACGTGGTCGCGCCAACAGTACCCCATGATCTGGCGCAAGGACCTATTACAAAAGGCTTCAAGACGAGCCTCCAAGGCACAGGACAATGTCCAGGTTTCGCTACCGTATAGCAAAACTGGCATTATCAGGGCCTTGAAAACCCGTAGCTTGGTCCTTCTGCACAGGTACCGACATCTCCAAATACACTTGTTGAGAGAGTTCATGACCCCTGCTGCCAGGCCAATCCGTCTGCTGACTTCATGGTCTGACAGCCCAGAGTTATGAACTACACTACCAAGGTATGTAAAGCTCTCTGTGACTTCAATGTCCTCGCCGCAAGCACGTACCGACTGAACAGGTTCTCCTAACAGGTCACCAAATTCCTGGACCTTGGTCTTGGTCCAGGAGACCTCTAGACCCATTAGATCAAAGTAATATGATCATATGAAAACTTGTGGATGTTGGGTACATGATAGGAATATGCCATCACAGAAAATTTGACAGCCAGTTGATGGCAATATGCCGATATTGAAAATTTAGCCAAGGCTCAGGAAACCAGAATGGCTCATAAGTATACTCTTGAGAAATACTAAACTAAGCTAGCATTTAGGAAGTGACTTCTGCATTATTTCAACAAGCAAATGAAGATGGAATATATCTGAAGCCATGGTTGGAAGAACACCTGCTCCAGGGAGGATATAGTCCTATACTCTGGATACTATTACTACATACTGTGACTAGTGGTGTAAGGGGATACAGAAAATTAAGATAGTTAATTTTGTAATTTTTAGTTTGTAATTTTTAGTTATTGTTATTGGCAAGAGGTACACTACAGAGATATATGGATACTGGGTGCTTTGCTGCCTACATGTGGCCCAGAATCCAGGCATTCGGCTTACTCAATTGGAGACTATCAGGTATGTACAGGATAGGCACACTCAAACACTGATGTGTAGTCAAGACTCTCTGCCTCCCCCTTGCAATATTATCTCAGCATAAACAGTTCTGACTTTGGTATTTCCCCCCCCCAAGGTCTATATTCACCACATGATATGATGTATCAAGATAGTAATAAACTGTTCTCCTTGTGGACTCCATATTCCTAGGTAGTATGCAACTCTGTACAATACCAGTTAGAAGTACTATATTTTTCGAATGAGCAACCTACTAGCAAATGACTGGTTTGGGAAACCAACACTTCTGATGTTTACTTCACTTTATAAAACCACAACAAACATGGTATCCAAGATAAGGCGTGAATTATGCGATGTAACATTATATATCAGTCTAGAATTAGTGGCTAGGCCTAAGCTGTGTAGAGCGAGCCCCACCTGTTGCGAGTGACATGTACAAGTCAAACCATTACATCATGCCTGATATAGCCGTAACCATCACTGAAAGGGTTCACATGAAGCCAGGCATGTACAGCTACACAACTATTGTTAGTAGTAGTGTCAAAACATTCAATAATGAACAGAACCTTAGGTTATGGAGGGTTTGATATTTTGGGTTTCAAATTTGTCTAGTCTTGAATAGTTGTTCCGGCATTCATGTCTCACTGAGATGGTCTTATTCTCATCAGATGAAACATGCCTTGCAATATTCAGATACGCTGCTACACATACCCAAAAGCAGTTGGAAAATCAGGGATATCAACAGTTTCGTAGCATCTACTATATTTGAAAAAATACCATTGCTTGTGTCAATGTTTAACATGATTTTCTAGCAATATTTTTCTATGTTGCTGGACATGGCAGTTCTCTTAAGCATCTACATATCCCCCTTCTCACTTTCATAACATTTTTGTTCTTGAGTAGCATAAGAATATGCTTTAAAGAAAGCATAACCAATTACCTCAAGATTTATCTTCGAGCTTACTATTTTGCCAGTCATTATGCATGGCTGACCATTTTGGTAGAACTCGTACCCAGAATAATTATATTCTTAACTTTAAAATCCAATTTGAATTTATAGAAAATTAAAAAACCTATGCTATTAATCCTCACACTATTAACATTATGATTATATTATAGACATACTGCTAGGAATTAGAAATCCAGTAGCACTAAGGGCCACTAAAAAAAAAAAAAAATGACTTGGCTGCTCTACCAAAGGGGTGGGTTGATGGGTGAGTCTGGCCCCAAATGGCAAGATAAGTGCTGAAACTCAGAAGCACAGTAGATTTGAGCTGTGGGAGATGCGTTTAGCAATTTATCATTATTTGTGCTATTACCGTACATGTCTAGAAAATTCCTTCTACCGATGACCAATTTTTTATCATCTACATGAATGATATCTTCAATTTGCCCAACCGTAATTCTTCCATTACAAAGAAATCAACCAAGGACCAGAACCTTTTTGACCATTAACCCATCATACATGCCATGCCCACATTAAGTTAAGTTTAATGACTAAGGTATAAGATACCGATTATAGCTGCAGTGGCCTCATTTTGGGTTCGCATATACTTTGGTTTAGGGACTTCCCAGTGTTGCCGTTGGTAACAAATACCAATCACTACATTGCCTAATGCAGGTATGCCCACTGTGACCCCCTCCTGAAGGGCTGCCTACCTCCAAATCCTGTCCTTCCCCAGGGCCAAGAATGTGCATTTTTTTAGGTGTTTTGCAGAATAGTTCCCACAAGCACATGTAATGAGAGGGCGAGAGAAATCCGTTGTACCAATGTCTTTATCAGTTATACTAAGGTATTCAGTAGAACTCCCCTCCGGTTTGACATTCTCTCCAAAAATGCACCAACTATGATTGCAGCCATATCATCTGGACTCAAAATCAACAGTACATCCTCATTAGTTCCATTAGCTGTTATGATCAAATGCTTCTAAATACATAGCAAATCAGTATTTTCCACCATATGCAATTGCTGCGTATAACTTCCTCCCCATGCCTATTATCACTGAATCTTGTACGCCAGTCACCAATACTGCAGCAAAGGCCAACAAACATGTATATTCTGACAAGATAGTGTTTACAGTGCTCTCCCTAGGCAATTAAGGTTTCATAGACATTCAGTCCATACTCTACACTTCTTTAAGCAATATTTTACCAAAGTTAGACCATGGAATAAACAAAAATGTTAGAAACCTTTGCCAGAGCGCCATACATAGTTTCACCAGCCTATGGTATGCTAGCTAGGGATAATCTGAATGTGCATGTGGTAATACGAGAAATTTCATGTTTTAGAGCAGACCTCCCCCATTCTCCGATTCTAGTAAGGCCATTTCTTGTGTGGTTCATTGTGGTTCATCCTCGAGGAACTTTATTTCAACACTTCTCACCAACGCAAAATTCACCACGCGTTGTTGTTTACATTCCATCACTTCGCCTACATTTGTGAAATTACTGTAAAATAAACGTTTTGTTGCTGCCAAATAACATTTTAAGACTAGAACTTTGAAACTATAAGTATTTGTCCTTCTAAATCCTTCTCTTTACCTTTGTTTAAATATATATTAGGAACTTTGTCAGCCAAAGATTTAGCTCGAATTTATTGCAAGCTAAAAAGTCTATTCTATCTACAAATAATACCCAATAAAGCCAGGCCACTATATCGAGTTAATAATTTATATATTTCACTGGAAATGAAGCACAGAACTCTTAAAAAGAAATATGCAGAAAAAAACTCACCCTGCCGTCCGTCCGGACCATGGTCTTGCCACGGCCCGGCTGGATCTTGTATCCGCTGAAACTGCAGAGTTGTATCCTGAAATATAAATATAATAAGCCTTGATAAGCATCGTCGATTATTGCTCTCCTATAGTGTATCGGTAAAAGACTCGGAAACACGAAGATTAACCAGATATTTCACGACATCAAATCGACACCCTGACGGAACTCACTTCATGGTGAAGGAAACAACTACGAAAAGGCAGAAAGTAAACAAGTGAGCGTCGACATGCGCTCTCTCGCTCTCCTAATTTTCTTGTTTTACAATATTCTTACTCTTATTGAGCATTATATATCCATAATTCACTATATTTTTTATTTCGTTTATCATATTGTTTTCTTTATGTCGTAAAATCTAACGAAATTATATATGCAATAGATAAATAGTGCAGAGGCTATTTTCACCACAGACCTGAATGCAAAAATTAATGAGCTAATCACCCACACAGAATAAAAAACGTTCGATAATTTTTAAAATCAGCAAAATACAATATAAAATATCTTCAAAGAGTCTAGACAAGGAAGAAAAAATATGGTAAAATACCTGATCGATTTGTCGCATCAAAACACAGGCTCGAACATGGCCTCCTCAGGTTAGTCCTATTTCGTCTATTTTTGCTCAATTAAATAACTTACTGGCCTTTTACCGACTCGAAATTTAATATGAGTTAAAAGAAGAAGATAAGAAGGATATCCCGGAGGCTAGATATGTCTCGAGATGATTGGGAAGTGATTAAATAACTACTTTAATGCGAAATGTCAAGTTGCAAGTGTGTTAGAATAGAGTCATCAACTCGATCAATTGCAAATTCATGATTCGTATTTCTCGTAACGTCATAATTGCAGGAAATATTTGGCCGATTGTAATATTTTCCCGATTTTATTAGCCGTGTTTGACTAACAGGGATAATATGTTGTTCCCTGACATTGTGTTGAAGAGAGGAAGGACAATACAAACTCGTGTTTATTTAACCTTTATCCGGGCAGACCATTTTTATCATGTTTTTTATATTATTATTTATTCAATGACAAAGTCCTAGGTAGGTCTGACAGCTTCATCTTGCCAGAATATACCAGGCAGCAGTTTACTGACCATTCCAGTGTAATGTGGATGCTGTGGGCTGTGCAATTTAAAGTTTCCAAGTTACTTGTCAATTTTTTTCTGTCTAGAAAGAATGATAACTGAAAGAATGTATTTGTCTAACTAGATCTCATTTATGAAATTTTGGACAATATACAGTACGAGGTAGTGGCTGAGAGTAAATATTGAACTGACCACAGAACTCCTTACTGCGATGTGCCAGGTAGTTCAAGTGTTAATACACGATTGTCAAAATTATACTTTTGTTAATCATCAGTGTCTGCTATTCCACATTTATGCTTTCAATGACCTTTATCAATGTTGTTATACCTCCTTTACATGTTTTAAGATTTAATTATACAATTTTGTATGTGAATTAGTCTGAAGAACCACCTGCATATTTGCATATGCGTGTGCCCGGCCACAAGTTTTGACAGGAGGATTCCCGGCCCTTCGGAGACAGAAGGTCGGCGAGAAATGTTTTGTTTTCAGTGTTGTGTCGATTCTGGGTTATTCTTAAGACTATATAGTGGCAATGAAGAAGAAATGGACCATAATAACCATCACAGTTTGATATCTGAGCCCTTCAAGTGCCCCAAATGCCGAAAAAAGTGATTAGAAATGAAGGGATCCACACAGTAGAGAGAAGCAAAAGAAAGTTTGACAGTTTCATGTTTCAGTATATAAAAGTATTTAGTTTATTGTTTATAGTATGGCTGTAGCACTGTCTTGTTGTATATACTGAGGTGAAGAGAATGTGTCCTGGTGTGTGTGTTGGGGGGTAGAACCCCCAATCAACCCTCCCCTCGGGCAGTGTCCGAAGGGCACGCCTAGTCACGGCAACTTAAATTGCTAGGTTAAGTTGATTTATGGGTCAAGACTTTTTTTGGAGGTGGGTGGAAGGTGTGAAATCCTGTAGTTTTTACCGAAATATGGGTTGTATTCCCATAGAGTTCTTCTAATTTTGGTATGTTGGTGTATAGATTTTTGAAGATGGCAGGGATGTACATAGAGTTTCATTTAAGCAGTTTTTGCACTAGTTTTATGCATTTTTGTTTGGTATTATTCATATATAAGCCTGTTTTACCCCATAATTTCCCTGATATATTTCATGCCCTCCCCTGCTATCAGGACTAACAAATCAAGATTGTTGATAGAAATGGTACTCAGATCTCCTCAACAAAATCATTTGCACAAGAAACAATGCCAAGAATGATTGAAATCAGCAGATTTCCTGCAGTTCAATATCAAAATTGTTTCGAAAGTAAGCCACTACCCTGTTATCTATATTGATCCAATTTGGTTGAGTCTTTCTCTTAACCCACTAGCGCTGGTACATTTTCAAGTTGAAAATAATGGTTTCTGGGTGGCTTCAAAGTCAGCACATGCCACGGGTGACAAAATTAGATCTCAAGCTCCAATCTCTTGTTGCACGGGCGGGACGCCTGGTAATGTTTATTTTTCCGAGTGTCTTATATGTTTGACATCCTTTGTAAGAGGGTTAACCCAATGCTATTGGGAAAATGTTGTGTTCACTTTACTATTGTTTTGTGAAATGTCTATGCACATAGCCTAGATGGCTCTGCCAGTACTTAGCCACAAAGGAGTCAATTAGTAGACCTTGTGACCTCACAGACTGCCACTGCTCACCTGATTTCACCTTTCCTTAAGTTTGCAGGAAAACACATTTACGCACATGCCATCCCCAGCGACATGTGATTAAAAAATGGGTGAAACTTAATAGCAGGACTCCATCTGTCAGAGACAAAGTTTGCAAGTGGAACAAGTAAATAAATGAAGCCCATCCTAAATGCACAAACTGCCACATAGATTACTACATGAACCAAAAAGCTTGCTAAAATAGGTACAGATTTCTCAGATCCCCAGCTAGTTGTTAAAGCTCCCTATCTGGTATATATTTTAACCTGTATCATTACATTGTAAGTATACCAAGATACTTTTTATAGGTAGATTATGTTAATGTACTTATTTTGTGCACTTTCATGCAATTAATTATTCTGTATAGACTGCAAATATATAATTTCCTCCAAGATATTATTATGCATATTGATTTCCTATACTTTAAGCAGTTGGGTAATTTGTCATTTATAAAGTCCAAGTAATTTCTTTAATAGTTCTGCCTAATAGATCACATTGATATTGGTATTGTTATATTCCTCTCACTGTCTAAAATGAAGATACGTAGGTTTTATTGTGCAGAAACCCCCCAAACCACCCATTAGCAAGAAATACCTCAATATCGGGGATGGGCATGGAGTTATTGGAGTTAGTAATCAATTATAACATATATCATGATGTAAGAATTTATGCAAAATTGTAATACAATTTAAAGATTCGGAAGATGTACCTGAAGTACTTACAACATTATGATTAATAAATATGTTACAGACATCTTAGTTTGAAGTCTAGGCTCTCATCGCATTCGTATGGTATGCAGTAATGATGGTAACCATGTGCTAGATTACTGAAGGTGGCTAATGAGACAGATCTGAGTCTGTCTGTTGGAACCCAGGCTTGCATAGTTTAGGAATGTTTAAGCTGTTTGTATTCATGAAGAATCTAATGTTACTTATTATATATGATATATAGAGACATTTATTGAAATTAAGTATTGTCTGATGTGTATTGAATGATTAAATTTGTGTTTATTTTGTTGCAGGAGAGGAAAAAGATGAAGCACAAGACGATCCAGGTAAGGATTTTTGTAATCTTGTTATTGTGTTGATAATGGAAGATTTTGAATGGTGAGGCTGTCCTTAATGTATACAGAAAAGACAAGGGTACAGTGATAATTTTTAAAAATTTGTTTCAGTCTTTTCAGTCGCAGAAAAATATGCAGAGGAGGGGATTAATGAGGCTTGCATACATAAAATGGTTTTTATTTTTCCACATTATATATTTTATGATAAATCATTAGCCTCAAGATGCATTTTCTTTTTGAGGTAACTAATCCCCATTTGTCAATTCATTTGTACATACAACAAAGTATCTTAAATTACCTCTTATTTGTCTTTGTCCAGTATTAGTTGCCAGTGAGTGTGATACAGATTCATGTTATGCAACTTACCATTATCTTTCTGTTCATTCATTCTTATGTAAAGATATTAAGATCATCCAGAATTGATTTTTTTCTCATTTTCTCAAGTGCTAATTGCAAGCCATCATAAAAATATGTTTTCTCTGCAGTAAAAAAAAGTTACTGTTATCTCATTTGTTTATTATTATATATATATATATATATATATATATATATATATATATATATATATATATATATATATATATATATATATACATATATATTTATATATATATACACATACATATATATGGATATATATATATCATATATAAATGTATGTTTATATATATAATATATATATATATGTGTGTGTGTGTGTGTGTGTGTGTGTGTGTGTGTGTGTGTGTGTGTGTGTGTGTGTGTGTGTGTGTGTGTGTGTGTGTGTCTATTCATTAATCCATACTGAAATTTCTCTCTTTTGCCTGCCAGTTGCCAGTGACTCGGAGGTAGTTCTTGATCTGTGTGGCCGACGCCTGAAACGCCTTGAGAAGGCACCTGCCAACCAAGCCTTTGCAACGGCACTTGTCTTGGACAACAACTGCCTCCAGAACCTCTCCAACCTCGACAGCTATGGGGAACTTGAGAGGGTGAGGGAATAATTTTCATGATATTATTGATATTATTTTATTGTTGATATATACATTATCAGTAATAGCGGTAGTAATAGTAGTAATATTTAATTTATTATCAGAGTGAATTATTGTTAACATTAATAATGTTATTATTTTTGTTATTATTGTTGTTATCAATATTAATAGATGTTTATTATTTTTATTTTAGTGAATATTGCCATAATTGTCATTTTCATTAGTTATTGTTAACATCACAATCCTTTTTGTTCATGTGATACACCAGTTTTTTAACCCTTTCCTGCATGTGGTGTGTGTTGTTCTTCATTTGTATTACAGTCTTGAGAAGGCACACAAAATGTGTGTTTTGTCATTATATGTGATCCTAGGTACATGCATATTTTGCTGTGGTTTTGTTATCTCAAGGGGACTGGCAACACTTACAGTTAAAATTGAAACTACTGGGAGTGAAGACTTGAAATGATCCAGATGAATAGACACT